TGGGGGCCGTGTGGGAGCGGGAAGCGGGTGCGAGGGGACTTCACTCGCACGTAACGGGAGACCGACGAAGCGTCCGCATGGAAGACCTGGGGCCAGGCTCTGCGGGAACAGCCGCAGCACGGCCACCGTCCGCGTGTTGGAAATGCTCACACACTCCCCTGTCTATTAAACTGGGGAGCGCAGTGATCCGGGAGACGCGCCGCTCCCGAGTGTCAACTGTGGCGACGCGAAAGACATGGGGCCGGGGAAGAGGGGACCCCGAGTACCCAAGGGATCGCCGCCTCCGGACTTCAGTTCACTTCCACATGACATCGCCTTAACCTCAGCCTGGTAGAAAGCAGGTTACCGGAGGGGTATAACTGTCCAAAGTAGGAACTGTATCTGAGTGGGCCCGGGGTTAACTTAACTCCCCAAGACGTCCTTAATCCCCGCATGACCTGCGCGAGCTCGCACCCTTGCACCCACCGGAGTCTGGCTCTCCAGACCGTCTTGATGCTCTGCGCGTGTTTATTTACTCAGAGTTTTCAGGTAAACCGTCAGATCGCCGGTTTCTGTATGATTTTAGACCACCACTACCACCCCAGGTCAACTCGCAACTTTGAAAAGCTTTTGATTTCACTTATTTTTCGGTTTTTCTTTTCATCTTATATGTTGGGTCAACGTCTCCTAACCGAAGAAAGAACTAAGTCAGTCTGGGCAGTGAGGTATGGATAGGCATGCTTTTCCCAAAACTAACGCATTTTTTCGGTTTTTCTTTTCATCTTATATGTTGGGTCAACGTCTCCTAACCGAAGAAAGAACTCAGTCTGGGCAGTGAGGTATGGATAGGCATGCTTTTCCCAAAACTAACGCATGTTCTCAGAAATTAACAAGACGGCGTTATTTTTATTTCACCCAAGTAAGTTTTCCATCATCAACGTAGTAAACAGGCTTTTGTGCACAAACAGCTCTGGCCACAGCCTGTCTTCCTCCCTCGCACCCGCTCGAGCTCCTTGCCAGGCGCTGTCCCGGGCACTTGGCACCGGCGGGGAGCGCCCACCTCTGCCCGCACGCAGCACCGCGTTTCAGGCCGCGGACGGCTTTCCCCAGGTGTGCACGGGCGACCCCAACGAAGGCGACCGCCAAGGGCAAGATGGCAAACGAGAGCGCTCAGCTCTTGTACACGTGTCCTGTGCACCGAGCTCAGTCGTTTTCACCGTTCTCCTCTCTGTTCCACATCCTCTGCTTTTACAAGTTCAAAACAACAGTCATTGCATGAAACTTTATGAGTCTTTACACGGCTCCCTTGTTTTAAAATGTGATCGCTAACCTTCAACGCCATCTTCTGGCTTATTCATTTGCCATCTTGATCCACTAGAAGTGATTTTTTTTTTAAAATGATGAAACGAACACAATAAAATATTTAAATCACGAAAACTCTTGATGACCTCATTAGCCCTGGGGAGGGGAGGGAATGACCAGACAGGTGCTTCCAATTGATCACCAAGGACTTCTACATCTCAGTCATGGCTGAAACAAAAAAAATGGCAAAGGTTTTAAGTCGAAGCTTCTCTCCCAACCCCTCCCCCGACCCCCCACTGAGACTTGAGAAAATCAGTGGGTTCTTCAGTAAAAGACTAAACTTTTATCTTCAATATCACAACTTGTTGAAAATGAAAACAATTGGGAAATCAATTAATTGAATGTCTATCCAAAACAAAGGCCATGAGGAGGCTATTTATTTTACTTGATCTTGGCCAAAAGGCCAAGAAGCGATTATTTATTTCAGTGAATTATCCAGATGTTGAAGTGCTGTTGCAGATGAAGTCCAGTCTAAATGGAGAATTTCAGTTTTCAATTCACATTTATCATAAAGAGATTGTAAGAAATGTGGAATTTACCTAAATTCAATATTTTGAAAATCAATTTTTAGAAATTACACATTTACACGCAAGAAAAACATTTTAGAAAAACCCATACTCCACACACAAAAAATAATCAAAATCTTGTTTTGGATAACACTACTTTCTCACTCATTTATTCTTTAAAATGGCTACAATTTGCTAAAAACAATGTAGCTATATCCATGCAAAAGTTTAAAGGGCAATCATTTTTAATGACTGGAAAAAAATCAGGAAAGTACTAAATATGTCATGTTGTTTTGATGTAGTTGCCGTAGGATAAATATCCCCTCTAATGCTCTTTGCACTGACTGTGACATTGTGTATGGCACTGCTGTAGACTTGACCCCCTCCCCCAAACTCAGTGAAGCCTAAATCCCTACTGTAACTTTTGAGGGTGGGAAATCCTATAATGGTAATTGAAGGTGGGACCCTAAAGAGGTGATTAGGACCATTCCCTAGTGAATGGATTAATGATGGTGGTCAGGGGCGTGGTTCCCAGGGCTTTAAAAGGAGAGCATGTGAGGAGCTCTCTCTCTCTCTCTCTGCTTTGCCATTTCTGCCATGTGAGACCCCTGGGTCACTGTCACCACCACCAAGACCCTCACCAGATGTGTTCCCCGCACTGTGGACTTCCCATCCTCTGAAATTATAAGCAATAAACATTGCTTCCTTATAAAGCACCCAGTTCCAGGTATTTTGTTATAAGCAACAGAAACAGACTAGTACAGGCAGGGAGGTGGTATTAGTGGTGACTGGACGCTTCAGTCTGAGAGTCAGCCAGATCTGGTTCACACCTACGAGGCCTTGAGTGAGCCATTTAGCCAAAGTCTTGCCTTCCTGTGTACAGTGAGCGTGATGGTGTCCCTGCCACCTAGCCGTGTCGTGACAATGAAACGATGCTTCGCACAGTGCCTGGCACATCGTAAGTGTTCAGCAAATCGGGACTACTATCATTTACACTGGACTTCAACACTTAGGGAACTTACGCAGACTTTATCTCATTTGATCCCCAACCAAGTCTGCCTGGTGGGCAGGATAAGGCAGGATTCAGCCCAATTGTACAGATAATGAAAGAAAGAGTCAGAAAGGTCTATTGAGGTCCATGTGCCTTGCTCAAGGACACAGCTCTGAGGGACTGTTCTTTCTCCTCGTGTTAATATTAATATTAATACTCCAAGGTGAGCCTCCGGGTGCTGACATTTCACTCCAGTTCTGGCACTCACCGGCTGGTCCGCGATGGTAAGACCTGGGAGTGGAGGTTGGCAGCAGGTGACCACCGAGCCCTTTTCCAACCCTAAACAGTTGCTTTTTTCTTTCTGCTCTAACTTACAGCTGTTAGTGGCTGCCCAGTGTTTTGGTTATGGTAAATTCAAAGTAAGAAAAGCTGCTTTTTTTTTAAAGCCACTGACCTAACCACTGGTCTTCAGTTCGTTCTTCCTCCAGAAGCTACACTCACTTTGAGGAAACTGGAGGAATGGGTGCTGCTTGTCAGCCACTGCTCTCAAATATTCGATCCTCTGGAAAAGATCTAGCCTTATAAACTATGTGTCAGGAGAGGAGGCAGGATGGAAGGCTCTGGAATGAAATTATGTGCTGAATGCTCTCACTACACACAAGTTTAAAAGAATCAAGTTGAACGTTGTTTGTAAAGCGATGAATCTTTGGTAATACCAATGAGGTGTGTACACCTGGACTTTTTTTCATGTAGAGCTGTACACACTCTCCTAATTTGATTTACAAAGTGCTCTGAGTGTCTTCAAGGAAAGAGCTTGCCGAGCTGCTGCAGCAGCGTTCCCAGGGCACAGGCTGTGCAGACCAGCTGTGAACACCTGAGGGCACAGAGCTAATACGCATGCGCTTTTCCTAGGCACAGACTATAACCTGCTTTCAGACTTATCGGAAATGGAACTTGTCATCTTAATTGATTAGCCACAAAGTCAAAGATGTGAGGGCAGCCCCTTTGTCTACTTTCCCTCTGTTTATATGGAGCTGCCCCTCTTGGTCTCTCCTCTTGCCAGCATTCTAAGAAGGCTCCCGTGACACTTCCTTTTCCCCTGGCTTGTTATGCTATCTGCATAAGTAGTGACGTGGCTTTAAACAAGGGACCACTTGATACTGACAACTCCCTTCACCAAGCCAACAAAAACGCACGTGGTTTGCAATAACTTTGGGCGATGTTCTGAAAACTGAAGCAAAAAGCGAAAGGCAAATATGGCTTTGTCTAATTCCACCCATTTGCAGCAGTCCATAGTGCTGGCTTGTGCTGAAGTCCATCAGCTGTTCTTTCTGCTCAGCGCTGTGAAACGGTGTCCCGTGGCTCCTCACACTGAGACCTTGGGTTCCCTGGGGCTCTGTGGGTGGTGGACTGTGTCTTTCAGGAAAGGTTAGAATTTGCTGTGGGAACAAGACCCCCCTGAGATTTGAGGGGGTCACTTATTGCTCCCAGGAGATATTCAGCATGGCTGTCACCACTCTGAGAGCCCAGGCTGAATGCAGCATTGATCCAGGACATCCTTGGCTACTCATTGGAGGGAAAGGACACAGGGAGACGCTTCTGGTTTCTGCTGGCATGGAGTCACACCCCCGTGACTCACATCCCTGCAACAAGCTAAGAACTACAGTGAAGGAGAGCTTAGAGGAGAGAGTGACAG